GATGATGGAATACTTTGGACTATAAATTTTTACTTGGTAAACAATCTCCACTATAAAGACTACCTATAAAACGTGAAATAGATGTCCCATACCCAGTNGGCCGCATCTGGCCCCCCGGCCTTGTATTTGACATGTCTGATATAAATGGAAGACTCTCTATTTAGTTCCCTTCCCAGTCTCTGTAAGGTATCTCAATACTAGCAATTTGGTTCAAACGTATCTCTTTTAATGATCATTCTATAGGAAAGCAATTTCATATTTTTATCCACATTTTTATTCCAAATATTCTCATGTTATTCTATACACGTTGATTTCTAATCTAGAGATTATTTTGCATACCCATATGTATCCATATTCCACTATTAAGAAGTTATTTGTAGTGTAATGTGTCATTCAATCTACATAGACACACTTCTAGTTATTAAATAAAAAAGCCACTATGCCTAAATTTATTGAGCTTTCCTCTGTGGGGGATATTGGTAGTTTCTAAACATGATAAGTAAGTAAGCTATCTAGATGTTGTGATTAGGACAGCAAAATCATGTAAAATAAATGTGAATAAATAAATAAGCAAGCAAGGAAGGAAGGAAGGAAGGAAGGAAGGAAGGAAGGAAGGAAGGAAGGAAGGAAGGAAGGAAGGAAGGAAGGAAGGTTTTGACTGGTTTGTTTTATTCATTAATCAACTGTATTTATTTGAGCTGTCAAAGTCTTTCATTAAAGTAATATCATGTTGTCTATAAATATAATGCTTGCATCTGCTTTTGCAAGTTTGTGGAATATACCCACAATTATTACAAATTTGAATTTGGATCCTAAGAATTGGGAGAATACTTAGAAAGAAGAGACAAATCCAACCCATCATGATCACATCTGTTTCAAACATGGATGTCCATTTTCAACCCTCTTGAGTAGGATATGAGGAAAAACATGCCTTATTAATCTAGGAACTGTTACTCAGCATAATTAATGATAAACTTAAATCCATGACAGTTTGGGCTATTTTATGTATTTACAAACAAATATAGGCCATATTCGATAGGTGGATGAATGGATGATGGAGCCTTATGAAATCTAAGTAATAATCTAACTCCATCTTCTCTGTAGGGAAGTGATTAAGCATTTATTTAAAAATGAAGCTATGTGATGTTGAGAAATGATCAACAGCATTTAAAATAAAATCAGTAATAGCACATGAAGAATTTTATGTAGCGGGACCCTAAAAATCTCTGACTGCCAACTGGGTCAGTTATTCAAAGAAAAAAAACCCTAAGTCTTACAAAAAAATTCTTACCAAGAATGGAATTCAAATGACCTATCAAGAACTGGATAACATTATCATAAATAGTTTTGTGGGTTTGAATAAACATGTTCCCATGTCCACGTTGTCTTAGATGCCTAAAAGGCAAAGGTCCATCTTGCAAAAAAAAAAAGAGGAAACTACTTTAACAATATATAAGTATGTCTGTGAAAGTGTGGGCATATTTGAGGTTCAGGAATATCAGGAATAGAGAAATTGTGGTAGACTAGATTTCTACCAATTGAGAAATATCAATAAGGACTTCTGACCAGTTCTTTATAGCTTACAATGAGATTAATTCATTTTGCCAATTTTATCTCCCAGACTAGACTAGATTATTTTGTGATGGCTTCCCATTCAAGTATTAAACAGGTTTTGCTTTTCTTAGTTTTAAGCCAAGAATGATTACTACTCCAGTTTGTGTGTCCCAGAATGAAATGCTGATGTTTCCTCCCCATGAGAGATCTGAAGGAGAAGAATTTCTGGTTTCTCAGCAACATCGACAAGCCTGTGTAACAACTTATCAGTAAAAATCCAGAAGCCACTCCCAACATTTAGGTTATCCTTAGAAATTGATCTATTGACTTCCAGTTTCAGAAAGGTGAGCTCTGTCTTCCGCGCTCAAATTCATCCCACTGGGTGACCCTGGAAAGGGTCAAAAGTTGCCCTGTAGGGGCAATAAGCAAGGAGAGGACCCCTGTTTGATTGCGGGACGGTGGCAACTCTTCCGCTTGATCCGGGGCAGCTTTCCAAACCGCCAGCCATAGCAATATGGCTTGTCACTAAGCTGCTGATAGCTGAAGTCAAAATTACTACCAAGTACCTTTAAAGCAATGCGGATGAAACTGGGTGAGATCTGATCTTCTCTTTAAGACTTTAAATATCTTTTCCTTTAAAAACTGCCCAAAGTACTTTTCTCCCTGTGAGGAGAGAGGGAAGGGAATTTCTACCCCACCCTCTAAGAACAGCGGTGACTAACTACCCAGGGGAAGCAGAGCAACTATAAGAACAATTCTAACCTAATTGGATGCATACGCTTTTGAAACTTGTGGGCTAAAAGTTTTCCTATTCTTATGGAGATGTTTGTTTTTATCTAAAAAAAGTAAAAGAAATAAACCTTGAAAAATATCATAAAAACTTTGGATTTAAAAAGCTTTAAGCGGCATTGGTGACATCTTGTGGCAAAGTATGGTATTACAATTTGTTATTGCCTAAAAGAGACCTGGCTTGAAGCCCAGACTCTAGAAAAAACTCTCTTGACCTTGACAAATACCACCTTTGAAAAACTCAGCTGTAAAGAAGGAACTTTTGGGCGGCATATCTCGCCTCTTTGAACTATGAATGTAAACCTTTACTGATTTTCAGAGTTATATGTGGGGAATTGCTTTCCTATTTCTTTACATGAGAAGCATCTGTTATTACATGAGATGATGGAATACTTTGGACTATAAATTTTTACTTGGTAAACAATCTCCACTATAAAGACTACCTATAAAACGTGAAATAGATGTCCCATACCCAGTNGCCTCTTTGAACTATGAATGTAAACCTTTACTGATTTTCAGAGTTATATGTGGGGAATTGCTTTCCTATTTCTTTACATGAGAAGCATCTGTTATTACATGAGATGATGGAATACTTTGGACTATAAATTTTTACTTGGTAAACAATCTCCACTATAAAGACTACCTATAAAACGTGAAATAGATGTCCCATACCCAGTTATAAAAAATGAAAAACTATTTTCAACATTTGATTTTAAAGTTTTTAACTTAACACAATATCAAGAGAATATGGATGAAGATCAGGAAAAAATCCTTTCTATGTTGAAATCAATACACAAAACCATTCTTTCAGCTTGTGACAAGATAAGATGCAACACAAAGGAAGAAGATGCCAGCTTAGATACACAAACCCAGACCTTGACTACAACCAAAGAACTAACAATGCAGAAAATAGCAGGAGAACTGGAACAACTAAACACTAAGACAGAAGATCCAATTGACCAACAGATCCAGTCAACAGAAAAATCAGAAAAGGGTTTTCTTTTTCCATTGAGAATGGAAAAGACTTTTTACATAAATCAGAAGAAATTTGAGGAAAAGGAAGAAGAACAGATTGAATGGAAGATAAACCTATCAGGACAATTGTGGGAAATTGGAGTAATAAGGAGGCGATTTAATGAATACAAATGGGCTAGTTCTTTCAAAAACCCTGTAATTGAATGGACTTTTTTATTTCAAATAATACAACTGTTTGATGATTCAAAAGTATTGACATGGAAGGTCAGTTGGCAAAGGAAGAAAGCCAGAGTAAGGCTGAAAGAAACTAGGGTTTTGATTTATTAGAGGGGATTTCATATTACTGATTAGAGGGTTGAATATGGTGGAAAATAGATAATATTTAGAAAATAAAGTAACATTATAATTGAATAGATAAGATGTGTAATAAGACTAACAGACTTTTGGTTTAATATGGTGGAAAATAGATAATTTTTAGAAAACAGAACAAGATTATATGCAAATAGATAAGATGTGTATTTAGAATATTAGATTTTATTATGAAAAGGGAAAAAGGAAGAAGTTGAGATAAGGGAAACTTTGGTTACCTAAAGCTTGGAAATTATAAATACCAAATGTTAATTTGAATATTGATGGAAAATTAAAGCTTGGGAAAAAAGTAATAACAGGACATTGATTGTATATAAGGATTGAATGCAAACACAATTAAGATAGGTATAAGCTAAAAAGTATTGATAAATGTAACAAAGATGGTTTTACTTAGCTGATAATAATAAGATCTATACTAGCCTAATATGAGATAATAGAAAAAGAGAGGAAATATCTAATGTTGTAACTTGAGATTTGTACTAAAGATTTATGTATGTTATTGAATTATTGATTAACCCAGTCACCACATTGCTTTTTAAATATTTAATTGTAAGAATAGAAAACTAATAAAATATTATATATAAAAAAAGAAATTGATATATTAAATGTAGCTGTATAAATTAACTACATTAAAAATGTAGGCTTGCGTCGAATCTTAAAATAATACATTTATGACCACTCAAAACTAGTGGTGGGATTCAGCCAGTTCGCACCAGTTTAGCAGAACCGGTAGCTAATTTTTTGTTGTCCAGGCCCAGAACAGACATATGGTTCCGACAGATGAAACTCTTCAAAGAACTTTGAGGCATTGTTTACCTTAAAGAATCTTTTATTTGAGTAGCATAATATTGGCACTTCATAATCGAAGCCAAAAACTGAATTTCCCTCCCCTGGGCACATAGTATCAAAGCACAATTCCCTCCTCCAATTAACAGTCATAAATCATATTCCCCAATTAGCTTGAAGCGCGGGCTTCCTCTCCAGCTCTCCAGCCCGCCAATTCTTTATCAGCTCTGGGCTCAATAACCTTGATTTTCATGCTAAGTTTAGTGCTGTTATGTCTAACTGGACTCTCATTCACATCCCCCCCCCAGCATCATATAATTCTAAAAGCAAAAGGGAAAAGATGGCTGCATTTCCATCTGTTGTCAATGCAAAAATATCCGATGTTAGCAGTGTTGACAGGACATCTGGAAGTGGAATCCACACAGAGAACCAGTTGTTATTTGAATCCCACCACCATTCAAAACCATACAATGAGATTAACAGCTAAAGTTTAATTTAAGGGCTGCGATTATACAGATTTCAGGTCATTATTTCCTTCTCATCAGGTACTTTCTATCATTCAGCTCAGGCCTGATCAAGATGATGTAGCATTTGGGAGAGAAAATGCAACCTAGTAAACCAGCACCAGAAGCCAAGATGGAGAAGACCTCCACAGCTACCACATATTTCCCCTTGGTGCTGAGATAGGCTGGAACAAAGGAGAGCCAAACACTGCAGAAGACCATCATGCTGAAGGTGATGAATTTGGCTTCATTGAAATTGTCTGGTAACTTTCTTCCTAGGCAAGCCATAGTGAAGCTGATCATGGCCAGGAAGCCCATAAAACCCAGCATGCAGCAGAACATGATAGTTGAACCCTCATTGCATTCCAAGACAATTTCTTCAGTCAGAGAGTACATATCAACATCAGGGAATGGAGGAAAGGTTGCCAGCCACACCGCACAAATAGTGATTTGAGTAAGGGAACAGGAGAAGATGATGGACTGGGCCAGTGGTTTTCCCAACCATTTCCTGATTCTAGAGCCTGGTTTGGTGGCCATAAAGGCCAGAACTACAATGAGAGTTTTGGCCAAAATGCAAGAAATTGCCACTGAAAAGATAATGCCAAAAGTAGTTTGGCGAAGCAGGCACCTCACCTGTTCTGGTTGACCAACAAAAAGCAAAGGGGAAAGAAAAGAGAGCAGGAGGGAAATGATCAGGGTATAGGTGAGGTTCCGATTGTTGGCTTTGACGATGGGAGTTTCTCTGTATTTAAGGAAGATCCAAAATATTTGACCCATGGTGCAAGAAAAGAAAAGAGAAAGAGTGGTCAGGCTGATCCCTAAAGGTTCTCCATATCTCAGAAAACTGATATCTTTGGGAACGCAGTGATCTTGCTCTTTGTTTGGATAATGATCTTCTGGACATGGAGTGCAAGAATCCATATCTGAAAAAAAAGAAAAAGACAATTTCTCTGTAGAAAAGATTTTCATATACTGCATCATGTATTCCAGGGATACTTTATCTCACACAAGTAGGTCCAAACCAGGTTGCAATGATTCATAAGGAAAAACACTCATAAATGAAAACATCTTAATCTTAATAGATGAGAACATTCTAAAGGTGGGAGACATCCTACAACCAAATAAAGCTAAACTAGCTCCCTACAGATATTCCTTTCTCAGAAACTAATATTCACACATGGATTGTTTTTGAAACATAAAGAAAATGTATATCCAATGAGTTCCTCCTTTTCCACCAAGTTTAGTAGTAACAACATGGAACAGTAAAAGTCCTCCTGGTGACACTCATGTTGTCAGTCAGATCAAGCACTCAATGGTACAGATATTAGAGTCAGATTGTCCTCACATCCCCATGCTATGAATCCTAAACCAAATTCAGTATGATTGGAAACTCAATGAAACTCAAAAATACTATCTCTTACCCATCTGGCTTGAGATCATCCTAGCTGGGCATGGAAAGCAATCATAACAGCAAAAAGGGTTGCCTTCTTTTTTTATCCGCCTGTGACCCAAATGGCAAAAGTCATTACACAAGGAAGAGGGTGGTTCCTGTGTGCAAATGAGAGCAGATGTATTAATATTGACAGGGAAAACAATATTATTTCTCAGAAAGAAAAAAGGAATCAAAATCCTAAGACCTCTTATTATTGCTGTATTAGTTACAGAGAAAATATGCCAAACAGACATAAAAATGAGCAACGGATGATCCTTTCTCTGATCAGTTCTTAAAAAGGCTATGATGTATTCTTGAATCTTCATGATGCCTTTGTTGGTTTAATAAAGAGAAGGGAAAGGGAAGGAGATAAAATGTAAGCAGCTTATTTTAGAGGCTCACACTTCTTGAACTCATTTCCCCATGAACTATCAGGAATGATCACCACAGTAATGGAAGAAATTAAACAACCACCTTCGAAGCAACCAGAGTTATTTTCATGAGCAAATATTAACCTCAGGGGTAGTCAACCTTGGCTCTTTTATGATTCGTGGACTTCAATTCCCAGAATTCCTGAGCCAGCTTAGTCATAAAAGAGCCAAGGTTGACTACCCCTGATTAACCTGAAGAACTGTCCAGAGACAGTTTTGTAAACTGCCCTGAGTCACTAAGGTGATATGGGCAATGTAGAAATTAGATAAATAAAGAAAATTAGATGGTCCTCATCCACTATATTCATTGTACCTTATGATATGGCCTGGGCCACACAATGGCATCTAGAGAAATGGAGAAGACTTTGTCCTTTGGAGCAAGGGGATCAATATTTCCCACCTTGACACGAAGAAAGGTCTGATTTGGGAATGTCACCCAATTGATAATATCAAACCCAGCCTTCAGTTCCCTGTTTTCATCAAAAGAAACTCTTTCCTCAAGACTATTGTTAAATGAGAGGCTTTTTAAATAATGGTGGAGCTAAATAGAAGAAGAAAGGGAGAGGGGGGGGGGGAAAACTCAAGAAAATTAGGGGGTATAAATGATGTATTTCTAATATTCAGATTGCTTTGTAAACATAATAAAGCCCCTTAATTTAATGCATATGGATTAGTTTATTCCTGACCTAATTCATCTACAGTGCACATATTTTTTTTCCTAAATCTGGTCACTGATACATTATTCCAAAAAGATGGGGGAAGAATACTAAGAAAAATGGTAGAAAAATTGCTAATCTTATATTTGTTGTGTACACTTTTTTTTTCTTTTCTCTTTCTGTATTTTGTTTGTAATGCTTATTTCTTTCACCCAGCCCATTCAGGATGGGCCACAGAAATGGCTGGGGAATGTGTACATAGCTCCACTTGTACGAGCAGCAGACGTGCATGCACATGCACAGCTCCACTTGCATGAGTTATGGGTGACTCTGTGCATCTGCAACTCCATTTGTGCGAGCAGCGGGCACGCATGCCCACCACTTATGCAAATGGAGCTGCATGTGGTTGCTTGCCTGCCACTCACACAGAACCATCCCCTCCTCCCACACTGGTCCTCAAAGTCAGAAAGGTTGGGGAACTCTGCATTAACTCATCTGACTGATGATCAGTCAGATAGCCTAAGAAACAGGGATCAGCTGTTTGGTCCTTCTGAGTTTGACTTGAATGGATTCCTAATAAAAGACAGCCACAGAACAAGAGACCAAATATACAATGGTCTATTTTAAGACTAATAATGAGATCCTTCTTTCCTGTCCTTCTCTTTCCTGTGTCAATATTCTAAATCTTGTTGACTATTTCAGTCAGGTTATATCATGCATTTAACATTAGAATTACAACTGATAAAATTCTATCAGCAATAAACTCATGATGGTAGGAATTAAGGTGGATGGAAAAGGAAGCCACTTGTTCATCAAGAACATTCTCACATAGGCAAGAACTTTCCTTCATTTTTGATGCCATGTGCCTCAACTCATAATGTGAACTTCCTGCTTTCCTGCTTTTGCACCATTCTATACAGGGAGAAAGCAGCAAAAACAGTTATAATAATTGTTTGCACCCCTTTCCTTTATAAGAAAAATAAGTCAATTTTTTAAAGAGTTTTTATCACTCTTTTACACCTTCAAATTACCCTCTCAGAATGAAAAGACACTGCCCCAAAATAATCACAGAGAAAGCTTTCTGTGCTAAGCAGAAACATTTCAAGTCACTTGGAGGTTCTGATCAATTCTTCTGAATTTCTCCATTCAGGATATTACCTGCCATGGCTCTTTTCTGATGGAATTCCTTCTTTTTATCTCTGCTGTCATTCTGGAGTTCAACTGGGATGAATCCATGGATTGCAAAGCATGGGCCATAGTGTAAACTGCATTGTAGAGGCTGTAGCTGTGACTAGTCATAGTGGTTTCAAAAACTGACCTAGGCAGTGTCTCCACCTTCTCCTCCCCAGTGCAGACATCTCCGACAATCTTGGGTCCTCTTGGAGAACAGAAGTGACAATTAAAGGCCTGTTGCCAAAAGTCCTTGATGAAACCATCTCCATTTTCTGCATTTGGGTTTCTTCTTTTAAGAAATGTTTGAAATCCCATCACATCAGCTGAATGAAAGGCGACCAACAGAGCACCATGGATAACATTAACCTCAAGGTTTTTGAGAAAGGGAACTGATGTGAATTCCATCTGGGCTGTCATAATCCAGACTTTGCTCTTGGTCTTGATGGGTATGTTCTCAAATTCTGAAACGTGAGGGAACATCCTCAAAAAGATCATAGTGTGAATTTCTCCATGTATGAGCACAACATTGGCTGTGCTATTGCTAATCACCTTGTATATTTTGATCCATCCATCCACCATCTCACCAACATCAGAAGGAAAATACAGTGTAGGCAAAGTTTTTATAAAATCAAAGCAGATGCCTTTCTTGGAAAACTTGGGCAGTATTGTGTGTACAAATCTCAACCCATTGTCATCATCTATAAAAATAACTCCAATCCACGTCCACCTGAAAAGAAGCAGCAGTTGTAGGATTCCGAAATATTGATGCTTCCTACTAGGGAACATCCGTAAGGAAAAAACATTTTGGGATTGGTCATTTATTACTGGACCAGAACCATAAGTGAACTGAAATGAAAAGAAATAAACAAGGGGGGGGACTTAATTCCCAATCATGATCCAAATCAGAAGAAATATAATATCCAAATCACAGGAAATAAATGGTTTTATATATTCAATCCAGCTACAAGAGGCATGGTGGCTCAGTGGCTTAATGATGACGGAGATGGCTCCAGCAGTTTGAGCCCTAATTCTATTTGGTAGGGTGAGCTCCCATCACTTCTGCCCACCTGCAATTTGAAAGCATGTTCTATGTGAGTACATAAAATAGGTACCACTTTGGTGGGGAGATGAGCTGTGCTCTGTGCAGGCAGTCAGATTCCTGATGTGAGGCAGTTCTGGGAAGGGAGGAGGCCTTTGGTGATGCTGTAGGAAGAGCCACTTGTCTTTCTCTCTGGTGCACAGCCAGCTCACTCTCCTGTGGTGCACCTTGAGAAGCATGAAAACATTTCCTATAACAGGGCTGGTACCTTGGCAAACCAAACAATTATTCTGCAAAAGCATTGTGGTCTCCTGGCTACTGTAACAATGCCATATGCCAATAATTATAATTCAATCCAGCTCTGGACATCCCACTTTAAATGGGCTTGAAATATTAATTTCAGAGAAGGGCAATGATGAAATTAAGTTCCTGATCAAGGTACAAAAAACCAAATATTGTGTGATTGGACATGCAAGGAATTTGTCTCTGGTGCATAAGCTCTAAATGTACACACATACAACAACAAAATGATAGGTCACAGATCATAAATCATAGTTACAGTCATTAATCATAAGATACAGTAATAAGATACCAATAGGAGAAGATAGTAGGAAAGATGAGGAGAAAAGATGAGAAATTGGAATATGAGAAAGATGATAATAGCAATGAAACCTACTATATGGGTAAATTTGTTAGGCCTATGACCAGTGGTGGGATTCAAATACCTGAACAACCAGTTCTCTGAGTGGATGCAGGCCTGGGTATCCAAGGCCTAGAACGGTCTTCCAGAAGTGGCATCCATGCACTTCTGGGGGGCCATTCTAGGCCTGGGAGGCCTTCTCCAGGCCTCCAAGGCCTAGAACGGATTTCCGGAAGTGGCATCCACACACTTCTGCTGGGCAGTTCTAGGCCTGCAAGCCTTCCTCCAGCCGGTCTCTGAACTCAAAAAAATTTAGCTACTGGTTCTCCCAAACTGGTGCGAACCAGTTGAATCCCACCACTGCCTAAGACAGTGCTGTGGGAATTAAGTATTCAGCAGAGTGATGACTCAGGGGAAAAAACTGTGAGTGTAGTTTTGGCATGTCTTGAGGGGAGCAGTTGAAACAGATTATGACCAGGATGTGAGGGGTCTGTAGATATTTCCTCAGACCTCTTTCTGACCTATGCAGATCCCCAGTGGAAAGCAGGCTGGTTGCAATTATTGTTTTTGCAGTCCTAACTATCTGTTGAAGTCTTTACCTCTCCTGTTTAGTTGCTATACCAAACTAAATAGTTATTGAGGTACAAATGACAGACTCAGTAATTCCTCTGTAGAAATGTATGGAATGTATTCTTGACCTGAACAGGGGTTTGGAGACAGCAGCCTAAATGGAAGTATCCAACATCATATTTCTGTAAGTTTGTCTCCTTTTAAATGTCTTTCGGTCAAGGTAAAAGAAGTCTCTGTGAATTCATGAGGTCAATAAAACGTGTACATTAGTGTTCACTGGGTATAGTGTATATTTGTTTACATTCCTGATTAGGAATTGTACTTTAAGCAACATCTTTTCTCTATTAAAGTTTGTCTAGTATAATTCAGACATTGATATTTCAAGGAATGTATGTACAACCATGAAAATCAAGATTTTCAAGTGTATATGCTGCATCCCACAAAGAAATTAAAAAGATGGTCATCTGACTTTACAGTACAGCAGGCAGTTGTCAGCTTCACTTTGATATGATTACCAAATGAAGACCTGATTAATTAATCAAGTTTTCAGTTCTTTAAAATATCCTTATATTTAACTCATTGTTCAAAATTATGGAGTTGTACTGATGTAATTCATAGATTATACCACTTTTATATGCAATGTTCAACTATTTTTACATATTCTATCCCACACTATCTAGTGATGTTTAATGTTTAACAATATTGTGATACACATAAAAAACTACATTCAAGACTAATGGGACATATTGTGCTTTTGTTCAGGAGCAAAGTCCTGTGTTTGTATCTTACCTGAGGTATCTTGTAGATGCTCAGAATGGTTGCCATAAAGAAACCCACATCTGAATCTGGTCCTCCAACGACTGCCATAATATTATCTTTAGTATTACACTTGTAGTTTGGGATAAAGTTGTTCCATGTGGAGAGAAGCTCCAGAGAAGCAAGTAAAGTACCACTTTGAAGAAAATGGCTATTATAGATGTGGAAGCCCAGGGAGATATTGGGTAATATCTGAGGGTTTTCATTGATCTCCGTTATGGCAAATACAAAGGCCAAGATATGTTGATAAATCTGAGTCACAAATCTGCAGTGTGATTTACATGCCGAATGAGTGCAGTTGTTGATAGGAGTCAATAGCAGTCTTGCTAAGTTTTCATCCATGGCAAATATCCAAGGTCATACAATCAGAGAGGTATCTTAAAATATCTATTTGTTTATGAAACTAGCTCATATTTACAGAAAGAATTACCAAAATTGATATATGTAGCTGATATTTGGTGGACAAATAATGAGTACTATCTTATATATTTCTTTTAAGAAAGCTCTTAGATAGCCAACATGTTGAATCTAGTAGACAGAAGATTTTGATGTGAGACATATTTGGCCCTTGCTATTGTGAAACATTATGTGGAGTGGATGGGAGCTGAATACCACAAGAGGAATGTTCATCTACAGTCATGGAATAGCAGCTAAATAGACTACTAGTATGAATAATGTAAATAGTCCCTAGTACTTATGTTAGCTTATGTCCACAATCTTCCTCTCTTGGTGGAATTGCCTGCTTAAAATAAAAATACAATTTATTGCACCTTATGGAAAATGTACAATTAACCAGAATTTTGGCTTACCCAATGTCATCCAGGAGATTATGAGACGGGTGTTGATTGAAAGTCACAGGGTCGGAAAATATATAGGCTTGAGAAATAATGCCAGCAATGATGAGATCCCCTGGCTGATAATACTGGTGGCGTATTGGCAGAGGGTAACAGATATTACATGTAGCAACTGGGATGTTGGACACAGTCTCAGGTAGTAGCAGAAATATCAGGAACACAAAGAGCGCCATTAGGTAGAAACAACTTCTTCTGGACATCAGTTCTTGTCTAAAATATCCTTGAGGAGTTCTGGCTGACTTTAGTGCTCTTTAGATCTGAGTCACAAATCTGCAGTATGATTTATATGCTGAATGAGCACAGAGATTTGCTAATTTTTCACCCAGAGCAAATACCTTATCAATCACAGATGTCTTTAACAGTTAAAATACATCTTTAACAGTGATGTTATACTAGAAACTATAAGTGGACTCATTCTTATCTGGAGTATTGAAAGAACAGCCTTCTATTGTTTTGCTATATTTCCTGCGCATCTTAGAGGGGAGAAGCCACTCAAGTATCTATATATCTGCAAAGCTCTTTGAAGATATATAGATACTTTCACATGATATATGCAACTGGTATCTGGTGGACAAATAATCAGTATCATCTGATGGATTTTAAGAAGATTCTCAACTAGACAAGATATTGAATCTAGTGGACAGAAGATTTTGATGTGGGACACATTTGTACTTCCTAGTGTGAAATGTTATGTGGAGTGAGCAGGAGGATAAATACTCCAATAGGAACTTTCATCAATGCTCATAGAAAGCTAGGCAAAGCATTATCACTACTAATGCCATCACTGTAAAATCATTGCTAGTACTTATGCTTTACTAGAATATGCTAACAAAGAATTCACCACAAAATATTATGTCCATCTAATAAATCCCATCTGGCATCATCATATGTGAAAGAGAGAGGAAATGAATCCAGAATCCAGAAATATCAAAACTCTCCCAAAAAATTAAAACTAAATACAGTCTCAATAAATAATAGCAGGCCAATGCAAATTCAACTGAGGTTTACTCTCAGTGCAATGCAGGGAAATTCCTTTCACAGATATGACATACAGGAAATTCTTATATCACAAGTGGTTTTTATAGTAGCGGTTATTTGTTGTTGTTCAGTTGCTAAGTCATGTCCGACTCTTCGCAACCCCATGGACCATAAGACGCCAGTCCCTCCTGTCCTCCACTGTCTCCCTTTGCCCAAGCTCATTCCCACTGGGTCAATGACACTATATAAACCATCTCATCCTCTGCTTTTCCCTTCTTCTTTTCCTTTCAATCTTTCCCAATATCAGGGTCTTTTCCAATGAGTAGCAGTTATACATAACAATTATGAAAATATTGTCATGTTTATAGACTGAATGAATGAGGGACCTAATATACAAACAATGAACATAACAAGCAGATTAATTGTGATCTAATGGATTGATGATAATCTATCCAATCAGGAAGGACTGAATGTACATTTAGTAGATTGCAACAAATAACTTCTGCAGCAAAATTGGGACATTCTTATTGAAGAGATGTAGGGAGAGATAGATAGTGGACGCTAGAAGAAGTTGTCTCCTTTTATAAAGGAAACATAAGATTTTTTTTCTCATTCATGCTTTCACAATATAATTTTATCCCAAGCACCACTTGTTTGAGATAATACAATTTGAAGCGAGAAAGTTCTTTATGGAAAATGCTAGGATTAAGTAAACTCTTAATTTACCCAATCTCATCCAGGAAGTTGTGAGATGGATGCTGGTTATAGATCACAGGGCTGGAAAATGTGAAGACTTGAGAAATAATGCCAGCAATGCTCAGGTCCCCTGGCTGATAATACTGATCGGCAGAGAGATAGGGCATTTAGGACTTGGGACACTGGACACAGTCTGAGGCAATAGAAATAAAATCAGGAACGCAAAGGGTGGCAATAAGTAGAAACATCTTCTGCACATCAATTCCTGCCTTAAGTGTGCTTAAGAAGTTCAGGCTGAGTTTATCTTCAAAGGAAGTCACCAAACAATTTGTGTTAGGTCCCTTTCTTGAATTGCAAAACATCTTTTAGTAGCATACTTTGATCTTGGTTCTTTTTTGCCAAGATGTATTTGTTATCCTTTGGGAGGTGAAGTAGAAGTTACCCTTGTCAGGTTGATAACTACAGGGGAGATGATTGCCTTTACAAAATTATGGGTTCTTGGTAATATCATAGAAAAAACAACATAATTGCATATTTCAACAAGGTGTTTCTCTTTTCCACTTTATTAAGATATCAAGAGGCCAGGATTATTTTAGGATCACTTTATTTGGAATAAATACTTTCTAATGTTTCAGTAGTACCCTTTCCTAAATTGGGGCACCTTTAGACACTCATATGTGCCCTGGACACCTCACAGCTTGACTACTGCCATGTACTGTACTTGGGACTGCCCTTGAAGATCACCAGGAAGCTTTAACTAGTCCAGAATGCAGCAGTGTAGGTAGTGATAAGCATGCCTGAGAATGCCCATATGGAATATCTGACTCATGAGTTGTGCTAGCTCTGTTTGCTTCAGGGTGTGATGCAGGGTGCTGGTTTCTACCTATAGAGCCCTACATGGCATAGGGCCCGGTTAGTTGAGAGACTACCTGACCCCATAGTAACTGCCCAGCCAGTTAGAGTTCTTTCAATCAGACAATGCCATCCACTGGGATCATGATTTGTTCCCATCTGGTTTTGTTATCTCTCCCATGTTTTTTGTTTTGTTTTGTGTTTTCTTGTTTGAGGAACACTCAGAATCACTGGAAGTTGCAAAGCATATATCTCTATCTCTACCTCTATTTCTACAACTACTGTACGTCTACGTCTACGTCTACGTCTACGTCTGCCTCTCTCTCTCTCTCTCTCTCTCTCTCTCTCTCTCTCTCTCTCTCTCTCTCTCTCTCTCTCTCTCTCTCTCTCTCTCTCTCTCTCTCTCTCTCTCTCTCTCTCTCTCTCTCTCTCCATCTCTATCTCAAACTTCTCATACACACCCCAAGGAGTTGGCCTTAAGGTGAACTTTTAATGTTTGAGAAAATATAATTTAATGGGGGGGGGCAGGTTTGAAAAGGTCAAGATAGCAGCCACATCCATGCAGTTGAATGTGCCTTTTTTGCCAAGTACGCAAAACACCTAAAAATGCACAATGTACCTAAAAACACAGGGGTTCACTGAGGAAGCCTAGTCTCCACCTTGAGTTTTTGTTCATCCCTTTAGGCTTCTGTGTGTAAAAAGATAAAATATTTTATATATATACAGAAACATACACACATACACACACACAGCATTAGAACATTGAGAATACATTGCAGTGCTTAAACCAGGTCTCATTTTTTGCCTCATTTTTAAAAAAATTCTGAGGTCCTTCCTATATGCTTTGGTAGATAACTAGCTGTTGCTATGGAAATGAAAGGTGTATATTTCAAGGGGTGTGTGTGTGTGTGTGTGTGTGTGTGTGTGTGTGTATACATGCATCCATCCATCCATACACACACACATAATATGCTGTAAGAGGGAGCGGGAATTCCTACACAGCCACCCACCTAACAGCTTGTTGTTATTGCTCTTGGGGAAAGAATAAAGAACTTAATTTCATGCAAGTGTTTGCTGTTTCCAGGATCCCAGTTCAGAAACCAACTTGGTAAGGAATGATATTCCGATAATTCTCTCTACTTTCTTCCTGAGGAGATTGAAGATAGGAACCAGGAAAGGGACTGCTTTTATCAGCAGATTGCAGATTGATGTGCAGATTGCAGATGTAATCTGCAGCTTGATGGCCCCGATTGGGTGGTTTATTTCATATCTTCAATCTGCACATCAATCTGCAATCTGCAGATAAGAGTACACCCTTATCTGCCTATTCTGCAAATTAGCTAGTAATCACACATATTTAGAACTTTGTTATTCAGTCATTAAGCCATGTCTGAGTCTTTGCCACCCCATGGATCATAGCACACCAGGCCGCCCTGTCCTCCATTGTTTTCTGGAGTTGCTAGAAATTCAGGTTCCTAGCACCCGAATCATTTATTTCATTTAGTAACACCCCATCAATATATACCAACTTATTCAGTTCCTCAATTTTCCTCCATGCAGTTTTGGTTGCAATCCCTCTCTCCTTCATATCCTAATTTAAAAAGTCCCAAAGTCTGCAGGGAAAGGCAATTAGAGGGCCCAGGTCAACAAGGTCTAGATTTCTGCAGCCAGAAGAGAGTTTTTCAACTATCAGCTATTAGACAACTTTACAATTTGAGCAGGCTTGAATTTCTTATATACTTTGGTGGGTCTTGGATTTCTGCACCCATCACTGAAGAGATTAATCCTTTCAAATGGAGCCTTTACTCTTGGTTGACTACAGACATATATAGTTTAATAATGATTCCTGTTTGCAATCCTCAAAATTTTGTTTGGAAGTTGTTTTGTTCAAGAACTGCAACTGTTACATATTGTGACTCATGAAATCTTACAGCTTCAGGGAACAGGATGGTTCATATCTTACAATAATTGATGAGTACTATAGCATAGGCATGATTGATTGGGGAGAAAGAGAACATTATATATTTTATGATTACACCAATACCCAGTCTTTTGTTTTAATGAGCACTTAAATCACTTGTCATTGGTGGTAACTGCAGAATTTTGTCACAAATCTAAATCCCATTGTGTATAGAAAACTGATTGCTATAACTCACTTTATGAGGATTTTTTGCATAACCTGTTGCCTATTATTCAGCTCAGGTCTTATCAAGATGATGTAAACTTTGGGGGAGAAAATGAGGACCAATAATCCAGCACTAGAGGCTAAGATAGAGAAGATCTCCACAGCTACCATATATTTCCCTTTGGTGCTCTGGTAGGCTGGAACAAAAGAGATCCAGACACTGCAAAAAAGAAGCATGCTGAGAATGATAAATTTAGCTTCATTGAAACTGTCTGGAAGATTCCTTCCAAGAAAAGCCACTGTAAAGCTGATCATGGCCAAAAGGCCAATGAAACCCAGGATGCAATAAAACATGGCAGCAGAGCCTTCATTGCACTCCAGGATCATTTCTGTAGGCAGAGAGTGCATATCAAGATCTGGGAAGGGAGCAGAGATCACCAGCCATACACTACAGAGAGTGGTTTGAATGAAAGAGCAGGAAAGCACTATAAAAAGTGCCAGTCTTTTTCCCACCCATGACCT